GGGGGTTGGGGGGAGTGTGTGGGTGTTGTGGGCGTTGATGTCAGGAAGCAGCCCTGCACACATGGGGTAATGGGAAACTGGAACTCCCAGTTTTGCCACGCCCTCTCCCATCCAAAACGGCTGACGCTGGAGGTTGATTGGAAGTCTGAGCATGGCTTGGTGGCTCAGTGGTTAGCACTGCTGCCTCACAGTGCCAGGGACCTGGATTCGATTCCAGCCTCGGATAACTGTCTGTGTGGAGTTTGCACATTCTCCCCGAGTCTGTGTGGGTTTCCTCCCACAGTCCAAAGATGTTCAGGTTAGGGTGGACTGGCCAATGGAAATTGCCCATAGTGTTCAGGGATGTGCAGGCTGGGTGGGTTAGCCATGGGAAATGCAGAGTTACAGGGATAGGGTAGGGGTTTGGGTCTGGGTGGGATGCTCTTTGGACTTTTGATGTGGACTTGATGGGCTGATTGGCCAGCATCCACACTGTAGGGGTTCGATGACAGGGGAATGCAGACCGTGGTGGCTCAATGAGGTATTCCCCTCACCTCTGGGCCAGAAGGTCGTGGGTTCAAATTGCACCCGCAGAGATGTGAACTCCAGATTCCCCAGGTAGTTGTTCCTAGTGACAGCACTGAGGGGGCCCTGCTGCGTCTGTCAGATGGAGAGGGGGAGGGGGCAGGTGGGGTGGTGGTGGGGCGGGGGGCTGGGGGTGTGTTAAAAGCTCAGCTCCCACCTGCCCCCTCAGTGAGGTTTGGGGTTTATATAAAGATCCCTTGGTCCTGTTTCTGGAGGTTTGGACGTAGGGTGGCTGGGGAATGGATGTCACACGAACGAGACCTGACCATTGCCAAGGCAGACAACCTCCTCTTTAAAGGGGGAGGGAGTTGCGGTGGCTGTTTGTGGGATCTTGCTGTGCACACCACATGCCGTGTTTACCACCTTGCGACTGGGAGGGCACTTCACAAGGACATGTGTGGCTGTGACAGCCTTTTGGGAGGCTCAGCCTAGGCAGGATGCTGAGTTCGAGGGGAGTAGGCGAGCAGAGCCGGAAGGGAGCAAGTATTTTTGATCTAATGGTCGGGTGATGAGCCTTCCAGTGAAACTGTCCGTGAGCCGAGCACGTGCTGTTTCCAAATGAGCTGTGAGGAGGTAAGATGACACCGTGTCCTGCCGAGGGAATGGGACAGGCCTCGTTGTCGTGGCAGCCTCCGCCATATTGTCTTTCTGGGTCCAGTTGTTTCCAGCTGAAGGGTGTTTATTTTGTTCTGCCCCTGTGTTTCAGCAACACGAGGCTGTGATACGACAGCTGTATGAGCCTCTGAGACAGACCCTCAGCGCCAGGAGCAGTATAACTCCAGCTCACCTGCTGTCTGCTCGCGAAGATCTGTCTGTCATCACCAAGACCACCAGTGAAAGCAGCCGGGAGAGAACTGCCTGCTCCATCAACAAGGTAATGGGTGGCAGGGGATATCAGCAGGGAATGGGGAAGGTTAGATGGATATCAGCAGGGAA